TCTTATGGCTCCTGGGTGTTTGTTTCTGTGGTTTCATGGCCAGTCCTCGAAGGAATCTGGTCCATTCCTTGCTCGACTATTGTTCATGGCCTTTCTCCGGCCATCCATGGCCTTTCTCTGGCCATTCTTGGCCTTTCAAGGCCGATCCTTGACTTTTTCTGGTTAGATCGCTAACTTTCGAAGTCTTTCTCACTTTTCTGGGTTCTCCGAAACCCTAATCTCTAAGACCTTTCGATTTCATTCAGATGTATCTTAGATTTGTGCTTACTATGAATTTTTCAAGTGTTTCTTGAAGGTTCTTTGACTTTTCTTTCAAAATGACTCTTCACTTTTCAACGATTAGGGTTTTCTTTTAAGTTTTTTTTAAGATCTCTTCTCGAATTTTAATGTTGTTTGTGATTTTGCTATGTTCAAACAACTTGTTTATGCTTTCCTTCTATTTGATTCAGCATGTTAAAAAAAACCTAGTTCCTTTTAGTCTTATCCGAGTTCTGAAACTGTCTGTTTAAATGTGTATTTGTTCTTTGTTTCTGACTCTCTTTTTCCTTGTTTGATTTTGAGTTCTTACCATCTCTTAAACTCGACTACTGCTGAAGCCCTAAATTTCTTAGAAGTTTTCTCACTTATTACTACTATGAGACCTTTACTTGTTTCTGATTTCTCTTAACTGATACTATGTTCTTCTTCACGGTTGATTCTATGTGACTACTTGACCTACTTGACTACTGTGCCTTGAATATTTTCCTTACTACTGAATCCTAGCTTATTTTCTGCCACTATTGTATGTTTGTGTTATCTCTTTTGCCAATGTGTTTGGCCTCGCATGTCTGATGCTTCTGTTCTCTCTATTTATATACTGAAGTTTCTTCCTTGATTGATCTTGATCTGGTGACTGATTGCAAAAGTTTTTTCTTTTATGAACCCTAATTTCACTCGCTTGTTTAAAATTAATTGATTCCTTTCCCTTTACTGTGATATTTTACCTTGCTGAATTCTTTTCATAAATAAGCCTATTTTGTACTTAGACTTGATTGTTTACTTCATGCTTTTACTGCCCCTTATATGGCAATAATTAATCTGCCCCCAAACTGATTTCTTTCCTTAATTAAACCTGCTACTACTCGTTAAACAGTGATTCCTTAATTAAAGGGAATCACTTATGTTAATTGATTCTGACTTGTGATTGTTTCCATGTTTGTGTTAAGACTTTACTTATTACCTTACTTATCACTCGTTTTCAAAAGCTGTAAATACCCACCCCCTCTTCTTTCAAAACACACGAACAACTTGAGTTCAAAACACACACTTACACTTAAAAACTCTCTCTTTCTCTACTACTACTTGTGATGTTGCTTGGTGTAGCCGGCTGAAAGTCAAGGCTAGACTGTAGACTCTTGTTTGCTTTACCTTTCTGCACTTTGCTTCTCTACTGGTATGTCCTAGTTTATTCTTTAAGTCTCAACAATAATATGTTTCTTTAAGTTGCTTCAGTTTCTCATTCATGCTCACTTCTGCTCATGTTTTTGCAGTCTATTTACATTACTAGCATGTGAAATATGTTCCCTTCCCCTTTTAGATTAATGTTTCCCTATGTATGTACTCTGTCAGTCGCTTGTTATGTGATTTGCTGACTTATGAATCCCAATCCCCATACCCCCTCTATGTATTTGTGTTCCTTTGGTTGGTTTGTAGGCAGACCAACATCATCTATTGCTGTGCATGACCAAACCTGCCCCTTTCTGGGGTCATATGCTTCATACAATGTATTCCCAAAACCCCTCGACCCTTTGTGTAACTACTGATTCTGGGTATTTTGAGCTCTACTACTACTGTTTTCAAATCACCCTTTAATACTTACTATTCCAACTCAGTTTTAATCAATCTCTGTCCTGCACTTCCACTATATTCTTAGAACCTAGGTTCTACCCCTCTTGTGTGAGCCTTGCCTTGGGACCCTTGAGCTCCCTCTGAACTTGGACACATAAGGGTTGGCCCTTCCACACTGCACTCACTCCTGTCTGGTTATGCAAACCTGGGTGTAAGCACTGCCCGGGGTCCTTTTTGAGACCCTTAGGGAACTTTGACACACCCAGGTATGAGAAAGGCTTTCAACACCATGGGCATCTGAAGTGATTAATTATATAACTCGGATAGGAAATCAAGATCAGGCTTCTTTTGGTTGTATTTTCTTACTTCTGTACTTCTTTTGTAATTTAGGCATTTGGTCTGTAATAATTTGTAACAAATATTGGGTTGGCTAGTAAAAAGGGATGGGGTAATTATGCATGTTTTAAGGGTAGATACCCTGCCTATAGGATCTGTTTAATAAGTTCTGCATGTTTTACTTCCACACTTAGATATCCTGCCTATAGGATCTGTTTAATAAATTCTAGGATCTGTTTAATAAATTCTACATGTTTTACTTCCACACTTAGATATCCTGCCTATAGGATCTGTTTAATAAATTCTGCATGTTTTGCTTCCACACTTAGACATCATGCCTATAGGATTTGTTTAATAAGTGCTGCATGTTTTGCTTCCACACGTAGACATCATGCCTATATGATCTAATGGCTATAATCAGACATCATTCCTACAAGGTTAAAATTAGCTTCAAAATTAGATGTCATGCCTATAAGATATTTATAGAAATCATGCCTATAGGAATTTCGCTGTGATCAAATAAATCCTGCCTACTCTACTTCATGTTCAATTAGATACCATGCCTATAGGACCTAAAACCAATTTAGTTAAAAAATCAGTTTGACTCGTACTGTGCTGAATCAGTTTAAACAACCTACTCCTTTTATCAATACGGTTTAGAAAGCATTCCTATAGGATCAAAATCGATCGTTTAGAACTGTTTACTGTTTTACTACATTCCTAATCAACAATAGATATCATGCTCCTAGGACATCACTATTACGCATAGGCAAGCCTTAGCTAATAATAATGATAAAATTGAATCTACCTTTATTTAATTAGCAACTGCTACAACCAGCAGGCAAGCCTGATTCGGACTTCTTATCTGAGCTATATAATGAATATGGTTCTGACTCAGATCCCCTACCTTAGGATTTTTAAAATTCAGACTTTAACTGTGTTTGAGTCGTGCTATTTATGTGTATTATCTGCGGAGGATTGTATGAGCCTTCTAATTGCTTACATGTTTCCCCTTTGAATGTAGTCCTACGTGTTTTTGTATGTCGCCTTAGCCTTTTTACCTTTAAACCTAAGAGTCAGCTTAAATCCTCCCTCTTATAGGAATAGTAGTCCTAAAATTCCTCCGGGACTGATAGGAATGGGACGGGTAATAGCACGCAATAGAGTGCGAGACCAATCCGCGCTTTAAATACCTTTACGGGGTGGGAAGGGTAGATATGGATATGATGACCGGTGCGCTAATACCACGTGTAGCCCTTCTTTGAGGAGTGATTACCGGGTATTGCATTGATGTGATCCATATTACAAATAAACCTAGGACCCCTTTACATTCATCAGCATGCTTAGTTATAACTCTTTCTCAAAACTTTGCTTTATTTAATCATTTTCAAATACTTGTGTATGTGAACTTAAATCCCCTCTTATTTTAGCCTTGTTTGTTTACTTGTTAATTGCACAAATTCACAAAGAACTATCTGGCCGGAAACCACACTAGTGGATCCTGAGGGGTGCCTAACACCTTCCCTTTGGGATAATTTCAAGCCCTTACCCTATCTCTGGTTATCAAACGTAGTTGTAGTTGAACCATATAGGTGCCCTAATGCACCTTAAAATCGTTAGGTGGCGACTCTTCAAAATTTGCAAAACTCCTTTCCCGAAAGGAAAGAGTTGTCCCAATCAAATGTCACGAACCCGATTCCGCGAAGGAAAAAAAGGGGCGCGACACCTGTGCATTCTAATTAACAAAACCCTTGCATGCGTCAACTGTTGTCTCTATAAAAAAAAATAGCGAGGAATGAGTCGCTAGCTCAGTGAGTAATAACATTTAACCACAACCATTTTTATCGGGGACAAGTCAGAAAACATGTTAGTATATCAAACAGAAAATAACATAAGAATGTCCTTTCAGAAATAATAGATATTTTTCAGTCTCATCATGTTTTCTTGTAGTATAATGCACTTAACAATTCGGTAATCACCTCGGTAACCACTATATAATATCAATATTCACATTTTGGGAGGTTTCAATGAACGGATCATGTAATTGGTATAACTGTGGACTTCTTCGCAAGAAGTCAAATTTAACGCTAGTCCCTACTCGAGGAAAATCGGTAACGGTACGCTAGTTCTACCTTCCCACAAGCGAGGGCTATAACAGTACTTTGTAGTCGGTAAATACAAGGTGCACCAGGTATAACGAACTCGCCGTTAGTTACGGGATCCTTCCAAGTCTACTCCCATTTATACTTGTCTCTGTATCCGTATATACTCATATGAAAATATTTTAAAACAATATAAGGAATTTCGATTCTTATCAAATCATGAAATTTCATTTCGATAACAGTAAATTCAAGTAACGGTAAAACATATCTAGTGACAACAAGAATATTTAAAACAACGGTAATCATGTCAAATAACTATTTCGGTATCATATCAAGTAAAAGACTTGTCCCACATGCAACTCAAAATAATCGGTAACATATTCATATTAAAAATCATGTGTAAATCATGCAAGTTATGAAATACAAATTGCGGTAAGATTACTACTCACAGTACTCGTGCCGAAATTTCAAATGCTTCACCTCGAGCAATTCGTACAACTTCCTCCAATTCAATCTATAATTACACAATATATTCATAGCTAATTTAGAATACCCAACCCTCGAGGTTCCGTATTTGACTCTTAATTCGCCGAATTATTTTTACCCACATATGATTAATTACCAATGTATCAACTCCAACCTATTCATATAATTTATTAATCCAATTTCATAAAGTTCTATTGATTCTTTAGGAAGAAAATACTCAATTGTGTGAATGAACTAGTGTAATTTCTATTACTCAGTAGAATCTTCCAAATCATAAGAATCGAAATTAAAATCTACCAGAAGAAGAAGTTTAAGTAATACCCGAAAACACAATTAGTGCTTAAGATTCCTCAACAGTTATAGCTATGGTTCCAACGTAGTGCACCAACTTTTTCCTCCTTCTTTTCTCTTTTTATTCTTTCTTCTTCTGCTCGTTTTTGTTTCATTTTTTTCTTTTCCGTTCTAAGCTTTCACGTTTCTAGCAGAAAGCTTTGCTTTCTAAACCCTTAAAACTTTGGCAGATATGTTAATGGGCTTCGGCCCTTTGTTTTCAATTCTAATTTTTTTTATAGTTAGTTTATTATCATTATTACTACTATTTTGGTAATGACCAATTCACCTTTATAAAATATAGGGTATTACATCCTCCCCACTTTATGAAATTTGGTCCCCGATTTTAACTCAAGTACGTACCTGTAGACTGAAACAAATGGGGGTACTTCGCTTGCATATCTTTTTCTACTTCCCAAGTAGCTTCTTCAAGTGTATAATTTCGCGATAAGACTTTTACGAACTCAATTTCTTTTGACCGTAGCTTCCTTACTTGCCTATCAACAATAGCCATCGCCTCCTCCTCGTAGGACAACTTCTCATCGAGCGGTATAGTCGGTGCTTCAATCACCTGAGATGAGTCTGATATACATTTTCTTAGAATTGAGACATGCAACACTGGATGAATAAAGGAAAACTCAGGAGGAAGTTCCAAACGATAAGCCACCGCTCCCACTCGGTCTAGTATCTCATACAGTCCTATAAACCTGGCTCAACTTACCTTTTTTCCCAAACCGCATCATACCTTTCATAGGGGAGACTCGTAGGAACACTTTGTCCCCAGTTGTGAACACTAAATCTCTTTTTCTCTTATCAGCATAAGACTTTTGTCTACTTTGAGCTGTAAGCAATCTCTGTCTGATCAACTGGACCTTGTCCATTGCTTCTTGTACTAGGTCGGGTCCCAATAAGTTAGTCTCACCAGCTTCAAAACATCCGATAGGAGAACGAAATCTTCTACCATACAATGCTTCGTACGGTGTCATTTGAATACTGGACTGGAAGCTATTATTGTACATAGGAGAAGAGATCAAACCTGAAATTGCAAACTTCCTTTATAATAATTATAGAATCAGCAAATACACCTTTTGACTCTAAAATCCTAGCGAGGTTCAGCAGCAAATCAGCAGGACAGCAGTCGAAACGAATTTGAAATCGACGAACTTGAACCTCACGGACATTCAATAGACCTCAGTTAATTTCCATGTTTTTGGAACCCAAAGTCAGAGTGAAAACTCTAAATATTTGTGTTTTTTTTTTCGAATATTTAAAAGCAGCTTTCAGAGAAGAAAAATCAAAATCCTAAAAAAAATCTCCTTCAACCTTTGTTCTAAGATCTTTTTTACCCGAAAATCCCCTCTGATAAATCTCTGAAAATCCCCAAAAAACCCCTTCAAAAAAATCTGAAATCCAACCCTATATAGGCCGATTTCTAAGAAATGAAAGGCTAGGATTAAGAGTTTCACTCCTAATCCCACGACTCCCATTAATCATCAAACGTCCAAGAAGGGTGGAGCGCGTGAGAGAGATGAATCAAGATTCGGATGGTACAAATCCGTTATTTGCCAGGCCACGTGGAAGGGGATGAGAGGATAGACCACGTAATTGGTTTGGGGGGAATTTTCCGGTCGCTTGGGCGTGGCTGGGGCGCGGCGGAGATGGGGCTGTGATAGGCAGCGCCATTTTTTTTTGTCTTAAGGTTTAGGGTTTCTTTGGGGGAAATGTTATATGAGGCTTATACATTAAAAGGGGAACGGGGCAGGTCAGAGGGAATGGGTCAGGGTCAGGGGTCTGGGCTAGGGCGGTTAATTTGGTATTTGGGCTAGGGGGAATTGGGTTAATTTAAATTCCCAGCCCAATTAAACTAACCCTTTTCAATTTCGTTTTTCTTTTCTTTTTTTCTTTTTCTTTTCTTTAATTAATGAAATCCTAAAATTAAATTCCTAAATTATCTAAATTGTAAAATTATACTAATTATAAAGATTACTTGATCCTAAATAAAAAAGAAAACTCACTAATATAAAAATTAAAAGGTAAAATGTAAACATGAGCCATTTTTTGATTTTAATTTTTAATAAAATAATTAATTAAATAATTAATCCTAAAATATAAAAACAAAGATCTAAATGCAATGTATGGCATTTTTCGTATTTTTCATGATTTTTAATAAAAATAAATATGCACAAAAATGCAAACAATTAACACAAATTTCTACAAAAATCGTATAAAATTGCAAACAATTCGGAAAAACTTATTTCTTTAATTTATAAGAGTATTTCACATAGGGCAAAAATCACGTGCTCACAGCTGCCCCTCTTTGCTCGAAAACACGAAGAGTTTTTGGGCAAAGATAAAGTGAGCGGATACGAGCGATTTTTGCCCGTTTGAATACTTTGTGAGAAGAATTTTTTGAAAAGATCTGACCGAACCTTGCTTCCGAGATTGCCTACATATCCTTGGCTATAAAGGAATCAGGTCAGTGTAGTTCGGAATGTTTTGGTAGCTACGACTACCGCGAAGCTGTGAATCTACTGTTGTTGTTGCTGCTATTACTTGCTGAACTCCTTATTACACCGAGACAAAATAAAAAAGAGCTAGGCTAAACTATGATCTATGAATTACAAAAATCATATCTACCATCTTCAAACTTGGTCTTGCCGCTTCTACAGTTCTATTGTGCATCTTGAACTGTTGACCTGCACTCTCGAGATGAATTTCTGTTGTTGCTAACTCGAATTGAATTCTGAAATGAGTTCCCTTGTTTTCCAGGTGGGTGCCTGATTGCTGAAACTTAAACTGTATTCCCTTGTTCTCCAGGTGGGCGCCTGATTGCCAGAACCTGAACTATATTCCCTTGTTCTCCAGATGGGCGTCTGATTACCAACACTTGAATTGTATTCCCTTGTTCTCTAGGTGGGCGCCTGATTACCAAAACTTGAATTGTATTCCCTTGTTCTCCAAGTGGGCGCCTGATTACCAAAAACTTGAAATGTATTCTCTTGTTCTCCAGGTGGGCTCCTGATTGCCAAAAACTTGATTGTATTCCCTTGTTCTCCAGGTGGGCGCCTGATTACCAAAACTTGAATTGTATTCCCTTGTTCTCCAGGTGGACGCCTGATTCCCAAAACTTGAACTGTATTCCCTTGTTCTCCAGGTGGGCGCCTGATCGCCAAAACTTGAACTGTATTCCCTTGTTCTCCAGGTGGGCGCTTGATTACCAACACTTGAATTGTATTCCCTTGTTCTCGAGGTGGGCGCCCAATTGCCAAAACATTGAATTGTATTCCCTTGTTCTCCAGGTGGGCACCTGTTTGCCAAAACTTGAACTGTATTCCCATGTCCTCCAGGTGGGGCCTGATTACAACAAAACAAACAACTAGAGAAACTTCTCTGCCCCACTTTGGTATTTGGGCACATCTGTGATTGTTAACCGAATCATGTTATCAAAGAGCTATAAGAATTTAAAAGCTAAATCTCATTATTCACGAGGGCCTTGAAAATTAAATCTTGTTCTAAGAGTGAAAATTTCAAAGCTAATTTATATTTCCTAGAGGTAGAGCATATGCTAAATCTTGTTATCTATGAAGGTATTGGAATTCGACTAAGTCCCATTATCTAGGAGAGTCCTGAGAACCTTTTAAAATTAAATCCCATTATCCGGGAGGGCCCTGAAAATTTCAAGCTAAATCCCATTATCCAGGAGGGTCCTGAAAATTTACGGTTGAACCTGTCCGGTACATTCTTTCCTTACGGGGGGTTCCTCCGGAACAAACTAAATTTCTTGCCCCTGTTTCAATCGAAGAAAATTTTATCAGTTTGAAAATGTGGTGCTTAGTTTGGGACATTATTGCTGAAGGTGGCATTTCTACTACCGTGCTTTGTTCTAACTGGCTGCTTTTAACTGGCCAAGAATTGTTTGTATTTCTGACTGAATTTCAACCACAGGAACCTGAATGACCCGAGTGACCTGCACTCAACCTGCTGTTTTACATTTCTGTCCTTCCAATTTGAACCTCTGTATCTTCCACAAAATTCACAAACCACTCGACCACTTGAACTTTCATTAACACCTTATTTTTTATTTTGCATCATGCTATTTCTGGTATGTTTTGGCCGCACTTTGCTTTGTGCAGTTTGGAAGTTGGTAGTAAGCTTTGAAATCCTTTCTTACTTGCTTAAAAAAGGCTGGCATTGGAAAAGCCTTAGAGAAATAAACCCAAAAGAAATGAAATGAAATGACTTCGAGAGTTAGTAATAAAGAAGAAAACTTGAAACAGGATGACTGTTTGAGGGATAAAAGGAAAAGAGACTTATCTGAGTGAGGCAGCTGGCACCAATGATCATGACATGCATTTCGGATTAATTTGCCTAGCCTATTCGACCAATCACCTTTCAGTTGTCATACTTTATGCCCCGGGATCTCCATAACACAATCTCTTCGCCAAGTCACTGACCATGTTCGGCTTGCGGCGCCCTGAAGGGTTTTCACCAACAAACCTCTCTCATTTGTTCATCTTTCAACTCGTAGTTGCCTTACGGTGCCCGTGAGGGTTTTCACCAATAAGACTCTCTCATCTTAATTTCTCTCATTTTTCCATCGCCCTATGGTGCCCGTGAGGGTTTTCACCAATAGGACTCTCTCATTTATTCATTTTCCCTTGTGCAGCACGGAGTGTTGCCCCTGATACGAATCATACCTCTATATCGCTCGACTTGGCATTCTCAAAGATTGATCGGAAGGTCTTTCTTTGAACCACAATCTAAGCTTTTGGATAGGGTTAGAAAGAAAGGATATCATGAAGGCTCAAAACAACTTGAATGGGTTCAAAATTACAACTTTCGGAATCAGATCTTTTACAAAACCACAAATTCTGCCACAGTTTCCTTGCCTGGGGACTTTTGAATCTATTTTGATGGGACCGAACCGTGAGGCTACCGACGTATCCTTAAAAGGAATCAGGTCGAACGTAGTTCATGTCATAGGAATTGCTTTGTTTTTGTAATTTTCTCTTTTTCTTTTTCTTTCTCTCTTTTTTTTCTTCTTTTCTTTTCTTTTTTTTCTTTACTCGTTTCCATTTTTTTTCTTTCTCTTTTTCTCTTCATTTTTCCTTTTTTCTCTTTTTTTAATATTTTCTGTATCCGTACTTCTAAACTTTGCTTCTGATTCCAACAGAGGGTTATGAAAGAAAATAAATAAGGCTCAAAGGAGTAACAAAGGATAAAGTGTTTAGATAGCAGAATAAAATGCCTTCGTCATTCTAATCTTTAAACATGCCAAGTACAAACAACAATTAGACAAACTAAAGAAATCATACATAATATCTTTTGACCGCATTAGAATTGATAGCCATATATACACATTTGCCTTCTATATCTGTTAGGTACAAAGCACTATTGGACAATACTCTTGTTACAATGAACGGCCCCTGCCAATTTGGGGCGAACTTGCCTTTCGCTTCAGCCTGATGTGGAAGGATGCGTTTCAATACTTGCTGACCCACTTCAAATTTCTGGGGACGCACCTTCTTGTTGTATGCTCTTGCCATTCTCTTTTGATACAACTGGCCATGACACACTGTTGCTAGTCTTTTCTCGTCAATCAGACTCAAGCTCCAAACGGGTTTTGACCCACTCATCATCATCAATTTCGGCTTCAGCAACAATCCGAAGGGGTGGAATTTCAACTTCCGCGGGTATCACTGCTTCAATACCATAAACCAACAAATAAGGAGTTTCACCTACTGAAGTGCGAACAGTAGTGCGATAACCTAGCAAAGAAAAGGGAAACTTTTCATGCCATTGCCTGGAACCTTACACAATTTTCCGAAGTATATTCTTTATGTTCCTGTTGGCCGCCTCAACAGCTCTGTTTGCCTTGGGG